TAATCGAAACCTGTAGTTAAAACGTAAAAAAAAATTTCACCCCGGAGATGGGGTGGCAACCACCCCCTAGGCTTTGGCGCACTTTGGTTCGATATAGATTTTGATCCTTAGGCCATTACCTACCTTCTGTTAAATTTCAAGTCAATCCACGCAGGACGAAAAAATTGTGAGGTGAAATGCTTCATTTCCTGGACTATAACTGGTTTGACAGCATAAATCGTAGATTTATGTGTAGCTTTCAATTTTTATGAGTTCAGAATCCAGCAGCACGCTGAAGTATTGGATTTTTATAATATAATTATTTGACAATATTTTGTTGGCCAACCACCTACAGCAGAATTGAGCCGAAATACATTATATTCCTATGTTCCGAATTTATTTCGTTCAATCTGTATATAAACATCAAGTGAATACATTTAAATCACCTCAAATCTGCTGATGACAAAGAATTAATAGCAAATAATTAATATCTTCGAATTGCCAGAAAAGTTACACATTACCAATGTATCCAGAAGGGTAGGCCAAAAACTGAACTATATTACAACAAAAATACTGAGCCAAGAACAGACAAATATAACGATACAATCACAGAATGTTGGACACTATATACAGTCTCTGATTAATTTATTAGACTTGTCATAAAAAATTCAATTTTTTTATTTCAATCGCACTAGAAATAATGTTCACAAAGCACGTGGTGTTCGTGTGTATTAAGGTATAAAAAAAGCGCTTATTAAAAGCTTAAAAATTTTTTATTATAAAGAAGATCTTTTCGGAATTGTATCATTCCATCATAAGTTTACTAGAAGAGAGAGTAAAAATACCAATATTAAAAACAACAAAGTTAAAATTTGAACATACAAAAAGAAAAAGTTGGTTTTTTACTACTTACATAAAAAAGGTTGTTAAAAAACATTGTGTGGCCACATAAAAAACATTCGGTTGACATCTGGATTTAAAAAATAATAATCTTCATGTTATTTATTCAGGTAAATGCAATAGACTCTTGACTTGTGTAATATAAAAAAATGAAACTGGGGGCATCTTATATGACCCCCTGTAGTTGGTGAGGTTTTATTGACTTACATTACCTCTGATCCGTGTTGGAGTCTAGGGCTAACTGATAGAAAGATGGTATGAAAAATCAGTTAGTGCCCGTCAATGTCAAGAGGAATGATGTGGTAGGAGCAAAGTCATCGTGCTTAAGTTTGTGAGTAGGCAGTTTTTAGTGAAGGAATGTGTTTTGTGTGTAGTAGGATCATAAGCAATTTTTGGTATTTTAAAAAAACTGATGGGAGAATATAAATCAATGCGTGACTGTGATGCAAAATAACTCGGTATACCAAGGTAGTGAAAAAAATTTTTTATGTAATTTAAGTGGTTAAAATTAATAAATCATTTTAAATGGGATGAAAAGGATGTTATTACCTAATTGTTTCGTTGTATTAAATGATTATATATAAAAGTTGGATTGTAATTTATGGGAGATGAGTCGAGGAAAAGAAAAAGAAATAAACGAGAAAGTAAGAAAAGGAAACAGAAAGTGAATGTGAAGATGTAAGCTGGGGAAATTGAAACTGATTGTGATAAGAGGTCGATAAGAGGTCGATACATCTATCGACCTCTTATCACAATCAGTTTCAATTTCCCCAGCTTACATCTTCATATTCACTTTCTATTTCCTTTTCTTACTTTCTCGTTTATTTCTTTTTCTTTTCCTCGACTCATCTCCCATAAATTACAATCCAACTTTTATATATAATCATTTAATACAACGAAACAATTAGGTAATAACATCCTTTTCATCCCATTTAAAATGATTTATTAATTTTAACCACTTAAATTACATAAAAAATTTTTTTCACTACCTTGGTATACCGAGTTATTTTGCATCACAGTCACGCATTGATTTATATTCTCCCATCAGTTTTTTTAAAATACCAAAAATTGGTTATGATCCTACTACACACAAAACACATTCCTTCACTAAAAACTGCCTACTCACAAACTTAAGCACGATGACTTTGCTCCTACCACATCATTCCTCTTGACATTGACGGGCACTAACTGATTTTTCATACCATCTTTCTATCAGTTAGCCCTAGACTCCAACACGGATCAGAGGTAATGTAAGTCAATAAAACCTCACCAACTACAGGGGGTCATATAAGATGCCCCCAGTTTCATTTTTTTATATTACACAAGTCAAGAGTCTATTGCATTTACCTGAATAAATAACATGAAGATTATTATTTTTTAAATCCAGATGTCAACCGAATGTTTTTTATGTGGCCACACAATGTTTTTTAACAACCTTTTTTATGTAAGTAGTAAAAAACCAACTTTTTCTTTTTGTATGTTCAAATTTTAACTTTGTTGTTTTTAATATTGGTATTTTTACTCTCTCTTTTAGTAAACTGATGATGGAATGATACAATTCCGAAAAGATCTTCTTTATAATAAAAAATTTTTAAGCTTTTAATAAGCGCTTTTTTTATACCTTAATACACACGAACACCACGTGCTTTGTATTCAACAGGTATACTAGCCACTCCTGGATATCTCCACTTCATGGTTTGTTCCAGTTTCACTTTTAAAAAAAAATAATGTTCACTTGGATACTAAGGTGTTGAATGAGTTGCATAACAATTGGGTCATAGTGACGTAGAAAATGGTATCAATTTTTCTTATAATTGTTAAAAATTTACAGACGACAGTAAAATGAGCTTAAAGTGTGAAGTAACTAATTGTTTTACATTTTGATTTTTTCACATATCCTAGATTTGTGGTCAGTTTATTTAAAATTTGCACTAGTAAGTACTGGCATTAATGCATAATAGTGTCACTTTTGATATTGGTTAATTATTAATCATAAAACAAGACGATTATTGGTCAGAGAGACTTAGTCAGAGTAGCACGAAAATGTGGTGTATCCCAGTCGTCAATGAGATTAAGTCAAAAACTCAAAATGAAGTGACCTGTAACGTCAGTTTTGAAGGGCCAATGTGGCAAAAATTCTTTAGTCACCTCCAGGGCGGGCGCAACGAATTTAAAAAAATTTAGCGCTAACACATAAAAGGGCCGCACATAGAGATTAAAGAAATAAGTTGGAAGAATCAGGATGCTCAAGTATCGGTGGCCACCGTACACCGAAATTTGTATGGGCTTCAAATATCGCAGGACTGTTTAGGAAGCCAAAATTAACACCACAAATGCTCAAAAAACGCTTAGCTTGGGCCGAGATCCGTACAGACTGGTCTATTGATAATTTACGTAACGGAAATTATTACAAATCATTTTATTTTTGCCCTTTATAGTTGTTATTCACATTCACAGGTTTGCTTTAGCGATGAACCCGCATTTTACATTATGAATGACGATGCCCAGTTTTTTTTGAAGATGTTCAGGGTAAAAATTTGAAAAGGGGTGTGTAATTAATACAATTAAACATAATACCCCAATAATGACAGGTCGGTAATTAATGGCAAATATATGGGACGTTTGTATGTCGTAGAGGGAACTATACGACAAGACCAATATAAAAGGATTTTGCAGACACGATTAAACACAAGCTAACGAATTTTTTGGTAACAGCCATAAAATATTTATGCATGATGTTGCACGTTGCGATAAGGCTAGAAGTATCAAAATTTTTTTGTTAGAACAAGAGATTAGGCTCTTACCATTGCCCGGCAACTCACCAGACATGAACCCCATTGAAAATGTCTGGAAGTGCCTAAAAAGTGAGTTAGCCAAGGAAATAATAATTACTAACAAGGTTTAGTAAATAAATAGAAAGAATCATTTTTAATTGGAATCACACCGAGATTTAAAAAAAAATTGCCGGAAAATGCATGAACAGCATGCCTAGGAGAGTGGCGGTATTGCTTGAAGCCAAGGGTGGCTTAAAAAAATATTAATGTTATAGTAAAATATTGTAGCAATTCACGTTGTTTTTGTTTAATAAACATGCAAACAGGTTACTACAATCATTTATGTTATATTTTTTACTTATAGCTAATATAGTTATAATTATAATTAATATAAAACTAGAGATTTGAATTGAGAGAATTGAGATTTGATAAACAGAAAACTAGAATTTGCTAAGTGAGTCTAATAAATTAGCAGGAACTGTATATACTTAGATGGGCATTAGGATGGCATCAAGCTATAAAATCCAAATGAATATTCTGAAATAAAACGATAAAAATAATTTCAATGAGCCGCATTTGGTAAATTGGCATAAATAAAGATTTTTTTCAAATAATTTTATTCCTATAAACTTAGAGAGGAATGTGTTTAACAATATTATACTGCCAGTGTATACTTATGAATTGGAGACCATGTCGCTTACTATGAAGTATGAAAACACAATAAAATATGCTTTTAACATGGACAAAATTGGAAATACTAAAATGAGATGAAAAACGAAAGAGGTAAAAATCAAATTGTGATGGGCCGGCTATATAGGCCGATATGATAATACGTGTAGGCAGGCATGGAGAAACCTGGCGAGGAGACAAAGAAAAACCAAAAGAAGCATAGAGTGAAAAGAGATGAGTAGATGGCAAAAAAGAGTGGTGGGAAATCGATTAGATTAACACAAGAAAGAGAAAGATAAAAGGCATTGTGAGAAACCTACATTCAGGAGTGGATGAATAAAGGTTGGCGAAGAGGGAGGGAGAGAGAGAGAGAGAGAGAGAGAGAGAGAGAGAGAGTTTGTGTGTATGAATGGTAAGTGTGTCATGTTCAATCAAAAAATCTACAGTTAACGACATAGCTGCTGCAACTACGTCATGTTTTGAATTAATCAGCAGGTATTTATTTAGTTTTACCTTATTTACATTGTCCTATATATCCATAGACTATACCCTATTAGGCATGAGGATATATCCAGGAGTCCTACACAATACATTGAAAGCAAATCCGATGGTCGTACAAATTAAAAATTAGATACTTTACTCATAAAATACTAGATAATTAAAAAATATAAACCTTACCTTATTGCTGCTATACTGCATGCCTGTTGGTGACGTAACTCTTCCTAAATGTGATACTACTATACAAGTTTCAACGTTGTGCCCTTTTTGTGCACATTTAGCCATAGCCTGATCGCAGATAGCTTTAAGCTGAAGAAGTTTCTCACCTCTCCATGCTCCATCTGATGTAACCAAAACTTTGGCTTCGCAGTCTAATATTCTTTCGGCAAAAGAGTCGGCGGAAAATCCCGCAAACTGAAATAGAAAAAAATATTTAACAATAACATAATGGAAGCATAATATGTTAAATAATATTGTTTTTAGTACATATTTTTATTACGTTAAATCCGTTAATTGCAAAAATCTGTTTAGCAAACTCAGAATATGGTTGAGATAAGATAGCAAAGTAAATAAATACAAAATTAACCAACGCAAAGTGTGTATTCATGCATAACAAGAACCTTGAACAAACCGAAAACATCAAAAGAGATTATTTAATTATATGTAGGTCAACAAGGAAGACAGGAATTTATCAAAGATAAATAAAAGATATAAATTTAAGAAAGTGCAAATAAAGACATTTTTTGAAGGTTATACACATATATATTTCATAGAAATAACTAAACTACGAAAAAAATCCTAATGAGATTAATAAACATAAACAGAAACCGCTAAAATCTTCAGCCTGAAATTCGGCTGTTTCTAATTTTAACTAGATGGCGATAGATGACTTTGAAGTTACACTTGTTTAATAGTTTTCAGTATTTGGTTCGAGGATTGGATCTAACCTGTTTATTTAGTTAAGTGTTTGATATGACGATGTTTATTATGTCTGGTAAAAATGGAACTTAGGTTTGAGTCAATATATTTTTACTATTTTTTGTTATTATATTTTGTTTAAAGTGTTTTCAGCTGACCCTAAATTGATGTCTTTTCTTATTGATAACATAAATTTTTCGAAATTTTCTCCTGGTTTTGTAAATTATGCCTTTTATTTTTGGTGTTACATAATATGTAACGCTAGGAACATTTGGCAGCAAAAATCTGAACTTTTAGAATTGTAACGTCTTTGTTGTTCCAGAAAAGGGGTTTCTCTTTAAAAAGCGCTTGAGATAATTAATGCCGATGACACTTACTTTGATGCTATATAATACCGAACCCCCAGAATTTAATGTGCTTACAGACAAGTCCAGTGATGAGGAAGATAGTAAGTTGAACAGGTTGTCCAGGAGAATTCTAGGCCACCTGTTGAACTAGTTTTACGAAATAGTGAAAGATATTTCAAAATATACAATGATATTGACGAGGCTGGTCCTTCCAGATCATCAACAAAAGCTAAAGAACAAGTGAAAGAATAGTTGAAGCATTTTTGGACCAATGGTGATTTGATAACTCAAAGCGCAGCTTTTCCTTGTGCTAATTTTTTATATTTTTTAACCATTCCACAGTTGAGATTTTTAAAAATTTCCGGAATGAGAATGTAATTTCCTATATTACAGATGAGACTATGCTCTTTTTAGAAAGCCCAAGATCCAAATATAACTAGAGAAGAGATAAAGTGACCCAAAACAAGTCATGGACAATGAAATCGTGTAAAAATCAATAAGGAAAATTAGGTTGGAACAAGTGATGCAGTTTTTGCTTTTTGCTGCAAAGCATTATAAATAAATTTCTACATTTTGTGTCTGAATCAGAGATCAATTATGATAAGAGTATGGTAAAATACTTTGGAAGGCACAGTTGTAAGCAGTTTATAAGACAAAAAATCTATACGATTTGGGTACAAAATGTTGTCATTGAACACCAAGTACGGAGAATGATGAGGTGCTGTATGGAAAGGCGACTGCTCCGTTAGTGTCAATGTTAAGATGTCAAATTACATACCGACAACTTATTGACAAATCCATTGTTACTTTGTAATATAAGAGATCAACGTATATGGTGTACTGGAACTATCAGAGATAATTGTTTGCCGCGAGATATTCCATTGCCATACAATAAAGCATTGAAAAAACATTCAAGATGCGAGTGTTTATCACTGGGTGTCAATGGGAAAAACGGATCTTATACACCAGAATGTAGCAAGATAACGAATAGGAATTTGGTCCAAAAACTGGTGGTGGTATCTATTTACATGGATGCTAGACTATTCAAAATGCTTGGTACCTTTATAAAATATCCTATGATCCCATCCCACAACTAGAATTTCGAAGGTATCTAGTAACATCGTATCTTACGAAATATGATACTGAAACAAAAGGTACAGACAGGCCAACTTTGTCCAAACTAGTCAGATATATAAGACATGATAAGATTCATCATCTCATGACCTGTATTCCTAATTAAAAAAAAACTTTGTGCACGTTAGGGCTGCAGTTCGCATGTAAAGCGTGCTACAACTGTTGTATTAAAATTTTCGGAATTTCAGAGAACGTAATCAATTTAGAGGTTAGATTTAGAGAAATAAAGCGTCAATTAAAATTATTTTTATTGATTTGCATTAACAAAATATAGCCGTGTGTCTGTTGGAGATATCGCGTCTTGTAAAAAAAGATGGGAGATGTTAACTTTTATCAAACTAAAAATATCTTAGAAATAAAAAATATTAAACGGTATCCACTAAAACAAAACAAAAATGAGAAGTACAAAAATTTAGATGTATAAATTTTTTGGCTCACCCTCCAAGCAATCACACTCGCCATCATGGTAGATGTGGGTTTCTGGATCTGGATCTCTAGTAACTTTGTGTTGTAGAGCATTAATATACCAATAAAGATCAGGGATCTCTTTCTAATTTTGCCCAAAGTGGGTTTGCAATAAATGAAGGACATCTTTTTTTTTCTCTTCAGTTACGGAATGAAATAGGGGGATTTGGGGAAGAGCCTGAAGAAAATCTTTTCATTTTTTTTTACAATGCTTCTAAAAGTTTCTGTTTCACTATCGAACCTATAGTTGGCGCAGAATTTTATTTTGGTTGAAGTATACCAAAAGTATACCAAAAGTTGAAGTTGAAGTTTTGGTCTCTTGTTTAGATTTTCTTAATAATGAGGCCTTTAATTTGGCTGATTTCTTTTATTTTTTGATAAATCATTTTAAGGCTTTTGATATAGCAGTTTTTGTACAGAGCCACACTCTTCGTAAATACAAGCATAAACTTCGCTCGAGATATTAGTTTTTTTCAAGCGCTTCTCCACACTGCCAAAAGATCGATCGGCTGGAAAAAAACTGTGGCCAAGAGTCGGAAAACTTACATGAATTTTCTGTACATTGTCTATAGCCTCATTTTCAAGCCAATGGCACAAAAGATAAACAACATGAGCATATATTTTGGCCAGCGCAACCATCACAAAATAACGATACTGCAGAAAAAGACGAAAGATCTTGGTATCTTAAGTGATGGATGAGTGCAGATCCAATTTCATTTACTCCTCTGCGTCCCTGCGTTTCATTCCACGTATAAAATGTTGGTGCCTTTGAGTCAATAGACACACAGCAAAATGCATAGAACGCAATTTGCAGCGATAAAAAACATCGCCGATTGGAGTTTTAGGGAGTGGGTGCACTTGCTGTAAATCAAAAACAAAACTCTAAGTATCACTGGGAACTTCCTTCATTAGTATTTAAAACGCATCCGCTCTCAGCTTATAAATACGAAGTTCAGTCATTGGACTAATTCTTTCAACTGAGCTGCGAGCATTTTGTTGAATAAGATATTTAAGACGAGTGCACGTAGCGCATGCGTCTGTAGCTTGGAAGAAAATCCAATGTTAAAATCGGTTACAAAAATACGGTAAAAACATGAATAGCTCACGTGCAAATCGGCAGTGTAAGCATCCTTAAATATTTTATATAACTTATTTACACTTAACTCTGCTGAAAGGTAAACTCTCTTACTTTCTCCTCTTCCATAATGAGATTCTACACAATTTAGTTTACCAAGAAATTGAAGGACTGCTTCCTTTTTGGCTCTAAAAAAACTTTTTGTTGATTACCACCTTTATTTTTTTTTGGCAGCAGACCTTGATTGACGAACTTTCCAATACACAGTGGTCGAGAGGCAGGTACACCCATTGAGAAAGCAAAAAACTTTTTGCAGACAGGAATAATGCTTTTCTGTTTCCGACCATTGAGAAAAAATTTCACAGAAACCGTTCTTGTGCGAGTTAAAGAGACAGGCGCACCACTTCCCCTTCTTCTTTGGGGCTCGAAAGCAAAGATATATTTCATCAAAACAAGATCTTGTATCTCTTTACCCTCTGCCATGTAGACTGCTTGTCGATTAATTTTTATATCATTGTAGGATACCGTAGCACAACGAAGATTTTTTTGGAATTATGGGCACATGGTCTGGTCTTGTGTTTTAGAAATGGATCATAACTTTTGACCTTTCTCACTTGTTTTGATGGATCGTTTTTTTTAAGATCCCACCGATAAATTACCAACACTATCCATATCAAATAACACGCAAAACTCAGAAGCAACGTTGACATACAACGAATTCACAACATCCTGTCTCATCGAAGAAAAAAGTACTGATAATCTCATACAGCGTGGCATGGCGTGGCTACGCTACACAATGTCAGTGCGACCGGTGAGTAGTTTTAGAAACTAACGAATATTATATTTTGTTTCACGAATCAATATCTAATTCTAGAGGATGCTTTTAAAATAAAAAAAAAATAGTACAGGTATAGTTCTGCAGACCGGAGGATTTATGTATATAAAAAGAGTGAGCATGGGGTAAAGGTTTTTGAGTGGATTAATTAAGTTTTCCACAAGAAATCTACGTTCCGGTAATTCGCTGTATACCATATATTAAAAAATTTTTATTAAAACACCTTTCTTCTTCTTCTTTAAGTTCCATCTTCTATCGAAGGTTGGAAATCATCATGGCTATGCGGACTCTGTTGACTGCCGCTCTAAAAAGTTCTGCACTACTGCATTCAAACCATTCGCTCAAGTTCTTAAGCCAGGATATTCTTCGTCTTCCCACATTTCGCTTTCCTCGGATTTTGCCCTGCATAATAAGTTGTAATAATGCGTATTTTTGCCCTCTCATCACATGTCCCAAGTACTCAAGTTTTCGTCTTTTAATAGTTAATATTACTTCCGCCTCATTTCCTATCCTTCTAGTTACTTCCATGTTAGACATTCTTTGAGTCCATGATATTCGTAGGATTCTTCTGTAACACCAAAATTCAAAGGCCTCCAACTTATTCAGATGAACTTGTTTGAGTGTCCAAGCTTCCAGACCA